TTGTCTTTTGATATGTTAAACACGAATTGATCATTTCCAAAACAGAGATTAAAGTAGAGACAACCCAAAAACACGAAAATCATGTGAAACCGAATAAAAAAACACCATGCCAAATGAAAACCCTTTGTAACACCAAATGGAATGAATATGTCGAGGAATAACTTAACTTGAAAATTCTTCACAGTGATGAATATTATATCCTATACAAAGAAAAACAATGAAGAAAGCATATGAATAACATGATTATATTTTAGAAGAATAGGAAAAAGAAAGATAAATAAGAAAGAGTGTTGAAGTTGATTACATTTTAGTATGAAGAAGAAGAAAGACGAGTTTTGTTGAAGAAGAAAGATGAGTTAACTAGATCTGAAAGAGAAAGATGTTTAGGCTTTATGTTTTGAGAGTCGACTATTCTTTACTAAAGTTGATAACTTTGCTTACAATTGGTAACAAAAACCATGATAAAATGTAGGCAAAATAACCTTTTTTGTCCCTTAACTTTAGCTCCGGGTCCATGTTGGTCCTTTATCTTTAAAAAGTGGCAAGTTGGTCCTTTAACTTTTAAAATGGTGTCACGTTTATCCTTCCGTGTGTTGCCGTTAGTCAAACTTTGAAAAAATTGCCACGTTTGTCCAGGTGGAGTACTGACGTGGAAGTGAAGTGTCTTAGAGAAAGAAAAACAATTCTGTGTCATGTTCTTTTTCTAACTCTTTCTCTTTCTCTCTCTTTCTTCTCACCTTCCTTCTTCTTGTTCTCCTCCTTTTCATTCTCTATATCTTCCATTTCTCCAAATTTCCCCTTCTTTATTGACCCTTGGTCACCACTCTCAAAAACCCATTTCTCTATTTTCTGATAAGATTTCTCTCTTCAATCAAAATTTCATCTTTTTTACTCTTCACTTCCCTGTTGCTGGTTTTTTTTGTTGCTCAATACAATTTATAGGGTTTTGGTGTTTTTATTGTATTTGGTGGCTTGTGAATCATAATTGGGATTTTTGTGTGAACAGTTATCCTCAATTCGTCTTCTCCAAATCGACACCCAAATTCAGAACCAATCTCCAACAAACACCATAAATCAGCACAATTTCACAAATTTGAAACCTACTTCATAAAATAAGTCCCAAATCGAAACACAGATCAGAAATTTTGAGATGAAGAGAGATTAAAATCAAAGTGAAAAACTCAAAATCTGACCAATATCGGTAACGTGAAGCAGATTGAAATAAAAGGGAGCAAGTTCTAAGCTTGAGCCGAACGCGAATCTAAAGTTGTGAGAAACGGAAGCGAGAGAGAACAGATAGGTTGAACGAGATGGTTATGTTTGTTTTTCGTTATTTTTCTTCGATCTCTGCTATTGCGGTTTTCTTTTTTTTTGTTTGGTAATGTTGACTTTATCTTTCAATGTTTCACTATGGTCCGGATGCCATAGCCAAACATCAAGTGGATAACGCAATTCCGGGAAAGAATGATGGTTGCAATTCCATCGGTCCAACTCCTCATACCTTACAAGAACTACAGGACACAACCTTAGGTTCTCTCTTATCAGTACTTATGCAGCGCTATGATCCTCCTCAGAGGCGTTTCCCCTTAGAGAAGTGTAATCCTCCGCCATGGTGGCCAACCGGGACCGAAGACTGATTCAAAGCATGGAAAGTTGGTGTTTTAACTGCAGTTATCAAGCATTTGCCAGCTATTTTCAGGTCATCTGTCAGCTATACAAAATAAACGGACGTTTGGGGGTAACTAACGGTGCGGACTAAAATGACACGATTTTAAAAGTTAAAGGACCAACTTTCCACTTTTTAAAGATAAAGGGCCAACATGCACCCCGAGTTAAAGTTAAGGGATGAAAAATGATATTTTGCCTAAAATGTAAGTACTATCACTACGATGTCTGGTATTAATCGTGGTCATAAGTATTTTAATTTTGATATATTTATAAGAGTATAAGGAAAAAACTTTTTTGTAGCAAAAAATAAAAATTGTTGGTGTTGAGATTCGAAACATGTAACCTTTCGTCTATCATAACTATTGTTATTATGGATCGTAATGGATAAAAATAAAAATGTCTTATAATAACAATAAAAGATAAAATTATAAGGATTAAAATATTTATTTTTAAGTAAAGTTTGGTTTTAAAATAAAGCTATATAGATCAATTTCACGAATATGGTTGATAAAATAAAATTTTATAAATTAATTTCAAAAGAAAATAATTATTTAGTTAATAAATAAAATAATAAAAAGTGATTAAAAAGACATAAGACTTTGTGATTAAAATTTATAATTTATAAGTCTAAAATTTAAAATCTCATTTTTCTAAGGCTCTATGTAACATACTAGATTGTAAGGATTTATACCGGTCATGTTTCAACTCGATGTTTTAAAAATCGAATTGAATATTAAACTAGTGAAACATTTGGGTTAAGATTTAATTGATTCAATCAGTTAAATTTATCGTTGAACTATTTATTAAATAAATTAATAATACTAAACTAAATTTTATAAATATGTCATACAAATGTTCATAATTTAATAATATAAATATTTTAAAAATCCATTAAAATTCAATAGAACAATATCTAAAATATATATAATAACATGACATAATTGTACATATAATTTCAATCTTCAATTAAAAATAATTTGAAAAAATTAAAGAATTAAAATAAAATAAAGTAAACTAATTCAAATCAAAATTAAAATAATAGAAGATGATAACTAAAATAAAATTCATATAATTAAAAATACCTAAATTAAATAAGATACAATTACAAAAATAAATATTACAACATACTTAATTGAATAACAATAAACAAATTCGAGTTGAAAGAAGATAAACAAGGAATTCTTTTTTTTAATTGAGAAATGTTTTAAATTTTGATATTGACCTATTAAAATTTTTCAAAAAAAAAAAGACTGATTTGATCCATTTTTTTAAACTAGATGATTTTATAAAATTGTCTCCGACTCTTTGATTCGAATAGTTTTGAATGGTTTAATTCGATTTTTTTTTTGTTTTTATTTTGGTTTTGACCCACTAACGATTTTAAAATGTTAATTGGGTCAAGCTCTGGTTTCCGATCTAACTGGTTGAAGCAGGCGATTCGGTTCGATGTTTAAAATATCAATTCAACTTATTAATATTAGATTTTGTTAGTTGAGTTAAGAGTCCGCTTATTTGAGCTTTTTTAAAAATTATTTTTATAGTGTAACACAATTTTATGTAAAAAAATTTACAAAGATATTTTTTATAAAAATTTTAAGTGAAAATTTGGTTTGAATAGATATTCTTAAAATATTGTTCTGGCCTGGGCCCCGGCTTGACCGGGTAGGCCCAGCCCAATGATATTCTGCCAAACCCAATCCAGCTTGGGCCACAATCGTCGAGCACAGGGTCCCGCCGGGCAGGACCTTGTCCCTCCGCGGGCAGAACCTCTTCCCTTGTCGAATAGATCAACGTGTCCTTCACACGTTCTCCACGTGCTCCCCTCCGCAGAGACACGTCACCAACCAACTGCCCACCTCTGAAAGAGCAGGTCAAACCCACTTTCCGGAGATCACAGGACAGTTGAACTAGGGCGAAGACCACGTTTTGGACTTCACTATGCCACGTAAGCCCTAGCAGTCACTTGGGTTGGGCCTGACCATCCAGCCTAACTCAAATGACCGTTGGCCCTGCGCTGGACTCTCTCTATAAATATGCTCTTTCACAAGAGGGTCAAGTATTCACTTCTTACCCCTTTTCTGTATTTGCTCTCACTCTGCCCAATTCCTTACTTTAACATCGGAGTGTCTTGCAGGTACAACTCCCTCCTTTTCCTCAACAACAGTGAACAGACGGTAAGTCAAAGACGCGTGGCAGCCAGCGATCTCCTCCTGATCAGGTCAGATCAAATATTATTTTAGATATTTCATGATTTTATTAAAAAAAAATCTGGATATCAAAATTTTAAAAAATCACTTAATTTTGAAGCTATTTCAAATATAAAAATCATTTTTGAAATACAATTTAAAAAAAACAATTACAATTTCAATTATAATTTAATTTTCATATGTTTATGTTATAAAATGTTAAAATTAATCTTTTAATTTAAAAAACAAAAACTAATATAAAAAACTTGTAATATTTTTAAAAACATTTTTACAAAATATAAAGAAAAAAAATCTATTTTTCTAAAGCTGATTTAATAATTAAAAAGAACCATTATATAAATAAATTTTTAAAAAAATATAATTCATAAATTTCAACAATACTTTTTTTTGAAAAAATAGAATTTTATATATTTTGATAAGATACTCTCAGATCCTAATATATACATTATTTTTTTACTAACATAATTCTATTACAATTTTTTAATGCAATTTTTAATAACTATTTTATACAAACATTATTAATTAAGTGGATAAATTTATAAAAAAACTATCAAAAAATTAAATATAGCAATCAAATTTATTTAATAATTATAAATTATATAAAAAAACACTTATATATAAAGACGGAAATCATATTAATTATAAAACAAATATTAATACTACTGTGGTTTAAGTAGAGTCAGACTCAAATCTTTGGAGTAAGATCATGAATTTGAATTTTGTGTTAAAAGTTACTTAAAATAAAAAAATAAAAATTACAAAAAATAATTTGATTTCTTAAACATTTAGCAATTATTTGTCGATTTCATGAGTCCTCTCAATTTGATCTTAGGTTGATCTGCATAATAAAATGTAAATTCAAATATAATAATTAATTATCATAAACTATTTATCATGTTTTATTTTCACCTCAACTAAAATTTTGTACTATACTATATAGACTTCATCTCATAAAATTTAAGCAGAAATTAAAAATTTTCAGTTGCCATAATAATTTCTATATAGATTTTGTTGAGATGTGTACCAAGTGAAATAATTTGCATAAAAAAAGCTAAAAAAATTTATAAAAAAAAGAAAGATAAAAAATACAAAATTTACAAGCAGCCATATATATATAATATTGTTCTAAGGGGAGCATCTAGAATAACCAAGCTGAGCCGAGCCGTATGAGCGAGCCGCAGCTGGCGCGAGACTAAGGTGCAAATCCAAGCCCAATGCATCATCAAAATTGGGCCCACTGAACCTACTCAAACAGGGCCCATCAATCATGTGGGCCCGGGCTTGTACCTGCATCGTTGACAATGCGGACGCTGAATCCCCTACAACGCCAACACACGGAAACATCCCTGCACCCGCAAAATTAGTATTACTATTATTGTTTCCACTCATCATGGTGTTTCCGTTTCCCGACGGGAAAACGCAACCGTGAGAAACCGACACGTGGAAGGGCGGAGGAGCAGAACGCGGCGGAACGTAAACCCACGAGGAAGATGGAACCATCATGGACCCCGGCGGAGGAGCAAGCAAGTGCTGCGGCGGAGCAAAGGCGGAGATCATCGGGTTCCTAACAAACGAAACGGCGGCGTTTCGGTTAGCTTGTAACTGAGCGCGTTTGAGTTGTTGACGCTCTTTTTTATGCGCGTTTTGGTGTCCACCAAGTGCTTGGGAATTTGCGAACTCTCTGCAACAGTATTGACACTCGTATTTTCTTTCACCGGAGGAAGGTGGGAAAGTGAGAGCGTCACCGGCAGCGGAGGAGTCCGGTGATCTTGAAGGGGAAGTTGAAGTGGAAGAGGAAGCGGTTTTGTTTGTTGAGTCTTGAAGATTATCGTGCATGGTTTCGTCTTCTTGGACGTGGAAGCCGAATAGCTTAAGGCGTGTTTGGGAGGTTGTTTTGTTGTTGTTGTGTTCGTGGTAGTTGTTATCCATGGAGTGGTGGTTTGGTTGTAGATTTTGAATGGGTTGGAGGGTTTGGGAATTGTGATGAAGAAAGAGTTTCAAAGTGTGAGACAAGAAGAGGGACACTTAATGTGTTTATATTAAGGAGGTGTTGCATGTGTTGGGGTCTATTTATACACAGGATTCAATATCAATTGGTTTTCTTTTGGCTCACACCAAAATAATTAATTAAATAAAATGATTGAGTTAAAAAGTGATTAATAAACTCCAATTTTAAAACATTGTTCTTCTTCTTAATTCAACTCAATTGATTGCAGCATCAATATCTAATTAGAAATGCACAAATTAGAATTTGTGATGTTCCATTTATTTGAAATTTTAGTTATTAATACTAAAAAAAATTGTTTGATATTTTTTAAATCGGAAAAAAAAGAATACGCACTCACAATATAAAATATTTTTATATTATTAATCAATAAACATATATTATGATAATGTAAAATTAAATTACATTGATAGGACACTATATTTTAATCTCTTTTGAATTATTATGACAATTTTTTTTTATGTAAATCATAATTTAAGAAAAATTATATTAATACTTTAATATTTTAAAGTTTTGATAAATATTCTATTTATTATGATATTCATATTCAATTTTTTATTTAAATATTTCATTATTTTCAAATAACTTAAATTTATTATTTTTTGAAAATTTAAAATTAATTTTAATAAACATTTTTAATTACAAAAACTTCATACCAATATTGATAGTGCTATTCAAATATGAAAACTTAATTATATGTATGTATTTTTAATAGTCATTATAATTCTATTTAAGTTAAAAACAAACTTTCATGTAATTTTATAATAATTATTATTTTATTTGTAAATTCTTAGGTATATATAAGTTTTGGTTAAGTATTGATAAATTTAAATAAATTTTTTAATTTAGTTTAAAAAAAATTTATACTCAATTAAATTCTAGGAATAAAGAAGTGTTCACTTAATATATTTAAATTAAAAAGAATTTAAAAAAAATATAGAAGAGAGAGAAATATGGGGTGTGTATTTATTTATTATGCGGATGTGTGAAGTAAGAGAAAAGTGTGTTAAAAAATGGGAACAGAACCCAAGAAAGGGACCCAAATGGTTGGAATTGTCTGATATTTTCAAGAGTTAATTTACTACAATGGTGACCCTGTCATAAATAATTTGACTAATGAACAGTATGGTCTGATAGATGTAATGGGTTCAGAACGAGGATACAGAAAAAGAACACTGATTCATTTTATTATACTACAATCAGATTCAGAGAATTGATGCATGCATGTGATGAGAGTATGGCATGGCATGGCACAAGTTTAAAGTCTTGTTGAATAAAAATAAAAAATGATTGGTTTAGGGTAACACCTAACACATGGAATGAAGCTACAAGTTAGCTAGAGTTTGTAGGGAACCTCATAGTCTCAACCAATGAATGAACTTGTTGATTTGGTTGTTTTAGGAGAAAAGAAAAAAAACTAGTACTTGTTTTGTTGATTTGGTGAATATATATTGAAAGAGATAGAGTAGCTAAATTTAATATATGATGGACCCATTCTTTGTTTATCGTGACTTGAATGTCTAGATCACCACAACTTGAGACAGAATCATTGGAGTCTCGATGAAATTCGGTTTTGGAGAAACATATTTAAAGTGTTTTTTAATTGGATTTAATTATATACACCGATAGGGTAAAAATATTTTATATTGTCATCTAATAAAAATATATCATTCTATTATATTGTATAATTAGTTTAAAAAAATTTGTATGATTTAGTGAGATGCATTGTCGTCGTTGATTGATAATGTAAAAAAAAAACTCACCCGGTCAGTACATCACTTTTTTTCTTAATTTTATTTATTTATTAAAGGAAGCAAAATAAATTTTAGTGAAAAGAAAGGATTATTGTGTTATAAAACTAAATAAAATAATATAGAGATCAAAGGGAGAAAGAGAAGAGAGAAAATAATATTATATTATGTTTTTAAAAGTATTTTTTACATTGTAATGTGGATCTTATTTATAGGACTTAAGGGAAATGAAAAATCATAGTTATTAATAGAGAATAGGAAGATGAAAAGAAGAATAAGAATGAACATCCGCTTTTATATTTATTCATAACACTCCTCCTTGGATATCCATTGACGATATGCCTCGTTAAAGCCTTACTAAACAAACCCAATGGAAAAAAAATCTTGTGAAAGAAAAAAAGTACAATATCCTTTCATTTCTCTCCCTCAGTTGAACTGATAAGTCCAAGCTTTGGAGATTAGCATTAATTTTGGTAAAACTAACTTGTCAACAAGATGTTGGACAAAATGTCCTAACATGAAGAACAAACTGAAGAACAAGAAGTTGGACAAGATGTCATATCATGATGATTCGACATCTTTGTCTGTTACTTTGCAGTTTTGAAAACTGTTGTATTATTTCCAAATTTCAGAATATTCTGGAAATATTTGTTTATCCTAAGGGGCATTCAAGATTGAGGAATCAGAGATTCTGTTGAAATCTGAAGATGTTGTTTTTTAAGTGTGGAGATATTTTAGGAAACTTTAAATTGAAGAAACTATTCTTTTGGGAGAATAAGTTACAGATTATGTGTAACAGAATTGATGCGTTGTTAAAGCCCAAATCCAATCTAGTTTATGGTTATAAATAGGATGAATTTAATCTAATCAAAGTGTGGAAAATACACTGATGCTTAATGAGTTTTAGGGTTTGTGTATTTGCGAGTCTCTCTTGTATCGTATCGATACTATAGTTAGACTGTTTGCATTGAGTTGTAATTTTTGTCACTACTGTGATTGAAAGGAAATTGAGAAGGGTCTCATATCTAGGAGAGTCTTAGGTAGAAATTAAGTACGGGTAGTGATTAAGTGATAAGTTGTAAACCGGAGGTTGTTTAGCTTAGAATTAATACTATATAGTGGATTTCATTCCTGGCTTGGTATCCCCCAGTCGTAGGTGTTGTTGTATATTGAACTGGGTTAACAATTATTGTGTGTTCGTTTACTTTCTACAATTTTTATTGTGCTTGTTCTAGTCATTGTTATTAGTAGAGATCAAGTGTCTCAACATCTCTTATGACATCTGAGATCTGCATACCAGAATTTCAATTGGTATCAGAGCAGACATCCTGCTCTGTATCTGGGTGAGATTCAGGGAAGTTACTTTCTGGTACAATGGACAAGGAAGGGGGAATATTGAATAGACCATTCATCCTTGATGGACCCAATTATGAATATTGGAAAGTGCGCATGATGGTCTTTATTAATTCCATGGATGGTAATGCTTGGAAATCTGTAGTCAAAGGATGGAATCCACCAAAGGCTGAAAATAAGGAAGGTAAGATTACATATATTATTAAGCCTGGGGAAGACTGGGATGATGAAAATGACAAGCTAGCTCAGGGTAATTCCAAAGTATTGATCCCATATTCAATAGAGTGGACAAAAACATCTTTAGATTGATAAAGAATTGTACTGTTGCTAAAGATGCTTAGGAAATTTTGAAGACTACTCATAAAGGCACCCCTAGGGTGAAATCATCAAGACTTCAACTTCTTACAACCAAGTTTGAGAACTTTAAGATGAATAAGGATGAAAGTATTCAATACTTTCACATGAACATTGTTGATATAGCCAATACTTCAAGTGATCTAGGAGAAAAAATTCCAGAAGTTAAGTTGGTTCAGAAAATCCTAAGATCTCTTCCAAAAAGATTTGACATAAAGGTGACTGCAATTGAAGAAGTCCAAGACATAAACACCATGAAGGAGGATGAACTCATGGAATCTCTTCAGACTTTTGAATTAGTAATCAGTGAGAAATCTGAAAAGAATAAAAGTATAGCCTTGGTGTCTAATCAAGGTGAATGTGATCCCAATTCCAATGAAGAGTTGTCTAAGGTTGTTGTGTTTCTTGAAAAATAGTATAACCAACTATTAAAAAAGATGGACGAGAAGTCAAGATCAAATGTTAAGACTCAGTCATCTGATGACAACAGAAGGAAGGATTTTGGAAGGAAAAAAAACAACAATAAGAAATCCAACAAAGGTAAGGGAATCCAATGCTATGAGTGCGAAGGGTTTGGACACATAAAAGATGTGTGTTCTGTAACACCCCAAATTTTAATTGGAATATTTTAATTAATTGATTTAATTGAGAATATTCGATTTCGGTGTTTTTCGGTGGCTTAGTGAATTATTGAGGAATTATGCTTTGTGGAGTATTTATTTTGGAATAATAGTATGTAATATGGATTTATTAATATTATTATGAATAAAAATAATTATAAGAGGAATAAGGGTAATTTGGGCATTTGGAGTTAGTAAGGGTAATGAGGGAAAAACCCAATTTGTGAGGCCCAAGAATAGGTTTGGCAACATTGAGTTCTGAAGGGAAATTAGAATTCATTTGTGTTAACCGTGAAAGTTTGGTGGCCAGAGCTCTGAAGGAAAGGTTGGAGGCAGAAGATCCTAAAGTTAATCGTGAAAGCTGCGAATCGACTAAGGTATGGGGAGTATCGTTGTTCATGATTTTCTATGTATGCCTTTAGATGTGTTTATGGTTGGTTTATGATTTAAGGTATTTTGGGGTTGATTTGGGAGAATTGGGGAAATTGGCTGTACGACTCTGAGATTATGGCTAATGGTAAGTAATACTGAATATTGATATGAGAACGGGAAACCTTAGGCCTTCGTGGCCAAAACTTTGGATTGTTATATGTTTGACCCTGTAGGAATAAGAATGTTCAAATGTGAGTAGCTCTGATGCACTCAGAGCAATTGCAGGGAAATAGTGATTTAGGAGGTGCAAATGTTGTCGGGTTGGCCTAACAAACTATAGATTTTGTGTCGTTATCGTTGCATGGCCTTAGGGATGATTTGGGGATATTTTGGGGGCATGGGGTGTGTGAATCGTATGAGTTTTTGGGTAGAAACCAGTTCTGTGCGTAGCAGATTTTTGCTGTCATCACACTG